AATTTCTAGCTATCATAGATGTTAAAATCCCTATAAGACATTCAACTGGAGGTGTCACATGGGAAATCACACCTAAGAGTTGGAAGGGTAGAGATTCAATTGGAGTGGTCAATCAGGGATTCTCAGATAGAGACACCAATACCACAAGAAGGTATAAGATTATGGAACAAGTGAGGATTTGAGCAGCCAGTAGAGTCCTGAGGAACACCAGGCTAAAGAGAGGAGGAAGGGGTGGCTTTCCAAGTGTCTAACTAGAGCCTAAAAGGTCGGCTCTAATGAAATCATTGTGTGGGGTGCTGTGATGGCGGACACAGGACACTGTCCACTTGTTCACCCTCACAGAACAGGCACACTGACAGTGGACCCTGCAGACCCCTTCCATCCACTCTAGATTTTAGTTAATAAGTAATATATCAATGCTCATTGGTTGATTGCACCAAATATACCACATTAATTCAAAATGTTTCCAGTAGGAAGAACTAAGGGGCAGGCACAGGAAGGGGTGGTGTGAGGGAACTCCTTGGACATCTTGCTCAATACATCTGTAAATTTAAGGTAACTCTATAGAAATAAATTCTACTAACTAAAAATAAAAGGAAGAATTCATGGACTTTAGGATCAGACTTAAGGAGAAACAAAAACATCTTGACTTTGTCCCATTCTTTGGCAACTTTAAAATTTTTTCCCTATGTAAAGGATTAAAGAAGATGGCAAAGGGGCTTTTTTGGATCAATTGTGGAATCAGTGTTTGTTTTACAATTGATCTTTTTCCCTGTTCAATCAATGTGAATTTTCATAGTCTGGGTCTCTTTGAGTTGGTAAAAACTAGACTGTGATGTTGGCTGAGGCCCTTGGAACCTCAGTGATGCTGGACAAGACCACATAGCTATTCTGGGCTCATTTTCAGTTGCTTATACACAGAGGGAATTCCTGTCTCATAAGCTTGCTATGAAGACAAACAACTTGTAGGCTAGCCTGGGTTATATAATGAGTTTCAGATCAGCCTAGGCTACATAGTGAGACCCTGTCTCAAAAAAAGCAATTTATGGGGTTATCGCTTAGTGGCAGAGCATTTGCCTATCATGTGCAAGGCCCTGGGTTCAATCCCCACCACTAAAAAGAAAAGCTGGCATCATTCCACAAGTTAGACACACTACAATTAATGGTGAGGCTTTGCCATATTCTGTTCCATAAGTTGTTCACATTATAATTAATGGTGAGACTTTACCATACAGCATACTGTGCTAAGGACTTTATAGCCATCATGTCACTTAATCTTCCTGAGTCCTGTAAAGCAGATATTCCTAGCCCCATTGATGAGAGAAGGCTCACAGAGGTGACTTGCCCAAGGACACACAGTAGGATGAGAAGCTGACAGTAGGCAGTACCCTCTGTCCTCACACAGAGTCCCTGTTAGCACAGAGTCAGCGTGGTGAGCAACATCTTTATTTTCTACTGCGCACTTACAGTGCTAGACTGTCAGACTTTTCCATCTGAGTGGTCTTATCTGAGGGTTAGTACACTCTGAAAAGTGTCTGTGGCTGGGAGGAAATGATGAAGGATTAGACTGGTTTTCCTCACTAAAAGGCAAGAGGAGGCATCACTTCCTGACAAGTCTTCAGACATGTCAGATGGGCATCTCCGACCTTCATCTGCACCTGGTTGCCCAGGAAACCCAGGGTACTATCTGGAAGCTGTCCACTGGTCTCACTTACTCCATCTTGATAACACCTCTAGAAAAGTCCTTTTTTTTTACATAAATGCCTGTCTAGTCCCAGTACTTATTATTTTTTGTGTACGTATGTATATGTGGTGTGCATGTGTAAGGGTGCACATGTGTACATGTGATGTGGAAGCCAAGGCTGATGTCATGTATCTTCTATCATTCTCCATCTTATATAGGAGTCAACTGTTGAGCCAGGAACCTGCCATCTCCACGAGTCTGGCTACCCAGCTTGTTCTAGGTACTCTGTCTCTCCCATGCTGGGATTACAGGCTGGCCACCACACTCACTTGTCTTTTACTTGGGTTCTGCAGATCAAACTCAGTCTTCACACATGCTCTGCAAGCACTTTACCCACTGAGCCACCCCCAAACCCCATCATACATCCTTATCATTTTTTTAAATTTATTTTATTTATTTTATGTGTATGAGTGTATTGTCTGCGTGTGTGTAAGTGCACTCGTGCCTGCAATGCCCATCACTCACTTGTCTTTTACTTGGGTTCTGCAGATCAAACTCAGTCTTCACACGTGCTCTGCAAGCACTTTACCTACTGAGCCACCCCCAAACCCCATCATACATCCTTATCATTTTTTAAAATTTATTTTATTTATTTTATGTGTATGAGTGTATTGTCTGCATGTGTGTAAGTGCACTCGTGCCTGCAATGCCCACGGAGTCAGAGGTGGTGTCAGATCCCCTGGAACTGGAGTTATGGATGGTTGTTAGCCACCATGTGGGTGCTGGGACTCAAATCCAGGTCCTCTGCAAGAGCAGCCAGTGCTCTTAACCACCGAGCCATCTCTTCAGCCCCACGTATATCCTTACTCTTAAAACTGATGATTAGCTGGGCGTGGTGGCATGATTAGCCGGGTGTGGTGGCACAACGCCTTTAATCCCAGCACTCAGGAGGCAGAGGCAGATGGATCTCTGTGAGTTCAAGGCCAGCCTGGAGCTACAGGAAGACCCTGTCTCAAAAAGACCAAAAAAAAAAAACAAAAAAAAACTGATGATTAAGCTAAGAATAATTATAGTCTTTCATTTTATTTCTCTATTTCTTATATAACTCACTGACAGTATATGCTTGTGTGTTTAGAGAAGCGTTAAGAAAACAATGTTAGATGGTGGAGATTTGAGAAATAATTATTGTTGATATATTACATTGATTTTTACAGGACTTTTTACTTTTATTTTTGTCTAAGGCATTTTCAAGAAAATGATTTTTTTGTGTGTGGTATTGGGGCTTTAAACCTAAGACTTAAAATGTGCTAGGCAAGTGCTTTACCATGAGCTACATCCCAGTCACCTTCTAAATCTCTCTCTCTGGACTGGAGACATTGCTCGGGGGTTAAGAGCACTGGCTGCTCTCGCAGAGGACCTGGGTTCGATTCCCAGCACCCACACGGCAGCTAACAACTGTCTGTAACTCCAGTTTCAGGGGAATCTGATGCCTTCTTCTGACCTCCTCAGGCATTACACGACACAGGTGTACTTATACACATCCAAGCAATACACTCATGCACATAAAAAAATAAAATAGCCGAGCATGGTGGTGCATGCCTTTAATCCCAGCACTCGGGAGGCAGAGGCAGGTGGATCTCTGTTGAGTTCAAGGCCAGCCTGGTCTCCATAGCGAACCCAGGCCAGCTGTGGCTACAGGGAGACCCTGTCTCAAAAAGACCAAAAATAAATAAATGAAAAATAAATAAAAAATTTTAAATCTCTCTCTGTGGGATGTGTGTGTATGTGTGTGTGTGCGTGTGTGTGTGTGTGTGTATCTGAGTCTGTGGGAGCATCTGTATGTGTGTGTATGTGTGTGTGTTTGTGTGAATGTTTCTGAGTCTGAGGGAGTGATCTCTCTGTGTATCTGAGTGTGTGGGAGTGATCTGTGCATGTACCTATGTCTGATTGTGTGGGAGTGATCAGTGTGTGTGACTAGTGTGTGGGAGTGATGTGTGTGTCTGAGTGTGAGGGAGTGATCTGTGTGTGTATCTGTGTGTGTGAATATGTGGAAGTGATCTGTGTGTGTGTGTGTGCACGTGTGCCTGAGTGTGTGGGAGTGATCTGAGTGTCTGAGTGTGTGGGAGTGTGAGCATGTATTCTAGTTTGTTTCTCCAATGCTGTGACAAAATATTCGGACCAATACCAACTTGGAGAGGAAAAGGTTTATTCAGCTTACATCTCTTGGGTCATATTTGGAGAGATCTATCCACATACTTCTTCCCCAAATGTCTTTCTCACCAATTTTCCAATCATGCTCCTTCCAAGTCCCAGACCATCCAGCCAAACCATTGGCTACAGCCTATGAATCAGGATATAATCACACTTCCAGCCAGGTATAAAAGCTCAGGCCTTTAATCCCAGCACTTGAAAGTCAGAGGCAGGTGGATCTCTCAGACCAGCCTGGTCTACATAGAGTTCCAGGTCAGGCAGGGATACATGTAGAGACCCTATCTCAAAAAACAAACAGGACCAGCAAGGTAGCTTAGCAGGTAAAGATGCTTGCTACCAAAACTAAAGACCTGAGTTCAATCCTATGGACCCACAAGGTGGAAGGAGAGAACTGACTCCCACAAATTGTCCTCTGATCTCCACATGTGTGCTGTGGCATACATATACACACACAAAATGAATAAATAAAAATTTGAAAAGAAATAACAAAATGAAAAATATATGTTGTTATGGCATCTCCTCTCTCTCTCTCTCTCTCTCTCTCTCTCTCTCTCTCTCACACACACACACACACACACACACACACAATTACATATAATGGGATTCCTGATGTTGGGATTCAGGTGATTTGGGGAGTCGGGGGTTGGGGCTGGTCACTTTGTTTTTCGGTGCTGGGAGTTGAACCCAGTGCCAAACCAGCCAGGCCAGCACTAAACCACTAAGCCACATCCTTTTTTTTTTTTTTTGCCCTGTAACTAAATTGGATTCATTTTCCAGAACATTTACTAAACTTCAGTGCCCCAAAACAAAGGCTTACATACTGTATCTTCAGAGTCCCCAAGATTTTCAGATATTAAAAAATTTTCAACATATAAATCTCCAAATTTTTAAAAATGCAGACCTTTCATACACTCTGAAAAGGCAAATCGATTTGAAAATGCAAACAGAACAAAAATAAATGACTCTGGAGCCCAACACGAAGTGTGCGAACAGGGAACTTCCTTATGCCCTGGCCAGAGGAGACATTCCAGCTTTCCGTCAGCAGGCTCCCAGCCAACCTTGCAGCGCCCTTTTATAAAGCCAGCCTCAGGCAACCCAGAGCAAGATGTGGCCTCACAGTCTCTGTGCCCCCTAGCTGCTCCAGAGCCACTTCCCAAGTGGCTCTGCTGTCCTGCCAGAGAACCATGGTGAAAAGTGGACTTGTTATTTGCATCCTGGTGGTCAGCTTACTCCTGGACCAGACCAACAGCCGCCCATCCAGAATGAAAGCCAGGAAGCACAGCAAACGCCGGGTGAAAGGTAACAGGACTTTGTAGTCCAGCTAAAACTCTAGGCTTACTTAGGCGGGGAAGGTGCTGGACTAAATCCATACCTAACCTGCTCCAGGAGACCACCTCTGGGACCCACATCACTCCATCATGAGTGTGAGGCTTTACATGGGACATTGGATTTTGGAGTCTCTAAGGCAGTCTGATATTTAAAAAGAAACATGTAGCAGGGTTTGTTTTTTTTTTAATTGTAGAAAATCCTTTATAATGAAAAAAAGTCTCTACTACATGTCTTTTGTCTGATGATATGTGGAATGTTTCTGAGAGAGCACTCACATGGACCCATGAACATGGGTTTTATGGACGATAGGCAAGTAGAGCACATTGATTAACAATGCAATGCATTACTCCTGAATAGTAAATCCATTCAGATACATTTATAACTATAATCACATTACATGAGCCACAGAGGACAGAGCTTCTGGGAGCTGTGTTTTCCTTTTTTGTCGCAGGCTATCAGAAGTATATACCTATCAGAGGTATATCCACATCTCTTACAGTCTTAGGACAGTTGAAACCATGCATCAAGTTTTTCATGTCATAGAGCATTGAATCTCTCTTCAGCTTGGAACCTATCAACACACAGTCACACAGGATATAAAGATATTCTGACACTAAATTGATTCTTCAGACAATGCCACATTTGGGGTGGCTTAACTTGGGCTAAGATAAAAAGTAAAAGTTGCAAAGAACAGAGACAGTGGCCCTGTGCCTGGCCCAAGATGAAACTGAAGGGACATGCAGCAAACCTGACAGGTGGGGTAATGACTTATCTCAGCTTCCAAGGCATTTTCCCTAACAAGACATTTCAAAGTAAATTACAGCACTGTTTCCTTACCACTTTTTCTTCATTAAAACCAAAACTAAAGTGGAAGTAGCGGTGGCTCACTGGGGAGGTGGAGGCAAGAGAATCCGGAGTTCAGTTATCTTGAACTAAAGAGGCCAGTCTGGGCTACATGAGACCCTGTTTCAAAAGAAAAAGAAAATCACCAATGTTAGAGTCTAGATTTGACATGTCATAAGCAGTGGATGGGTACAGAGGTTTGTGTTTTCATGCCAGGTGTGGTGGCACACACCTTTAATCCCAGCACTTAGGAGGTAGAGGCAGGTGAATCAGTAAGAGTTCAAGGTCAGCCTGGTCTACGTATGAGTTTCAGACCAACTGGAGCTACAAAGCCCAGGAAAAAAAAAAAAAAAAAAAAAAAGCTTACATTTTCTTTAGTGATTATCAAGGATCGTTTTTCCAGGGACGTTTTATCAAAGTTCAGTCTGATAGTAGAAGTTTTCGTAAACAGGGACTTTTTTTCTTTATAAAGCATTCTTTTTCCCTACGATCTCTTTAAATGAAATTTTCCTAGTTTGTTTTTCCATTGCTGTGACAAAACACTCTGACCACTTGGGGAGGAAAGGGTTTATTCAGCTTATATCTCCTGAGTTACAGTTCATTAGGGAGCCCAAGGCAGGAACTCAGGGCAGGAACCTGGAGGCAGGAGCTGGAGCACAGGCCATGGAGGAATGCGTTTACTGGCTTGCTCCTCTGGCCCCTGCTCAGCCTGCTTTCTTATGCAACACAGGCCCACCTGTCCAGGGGTGGCACCACCCACAGTGGGCTGGGCCCTCCCACATCACTTAACAATCAAGAAAATACCCCATAGACATGGCCACAGGCCAGTCCAATGGAGGAAATTTCCCAGTTGAGGCTCCCTCAACCCAGGTGTGTCAAGTTGACACTAAAGCTATCCAGCACAAAAGTTTTAAATGTTTCTCACAAGAAAGTAAGTGTACGTCCTGAGGACAAGGATGGGGGAGGGAAGGAGAGAGAAGGCAATGGGTGATGTGGCATAGTTATGGGCTGGCCTTTCTTCAGTCTGGGAAGGAGGGGCAAAATGGTAGCCACCCCATAGGAACTGTTGGGAAGGGGCATGAATCAGTCTCTCTCTCTCTCTCTCTCTCTCTCTCTCTCTCTCTCTCTCTCTCCCTTTCCTTCTCTTGCTCATTTTTCTTCTCCTCCCAAACACCACCTCCCCGCAGATATTATTTTCAACAATTGCATACACATCTTAACCATCATCTCCTCAAAATAATAATCTTCGCCTTCATCTCTGGGAAAATAAGAGCTACAGAAAGTGAAACCTCAGGCCTAGATTTACTGAATATTTCCTTTCCCACTTACTCATATATTTTTAAGTTTTTTCAGTACCTTAAAATAAGTTCAGCACTTGAGAGATGGGGAGGCAGGAGAACTCAGAGTTCAAGGCCAGTGTTGGCTACATAACAGGTTTGAGACTAGCCATGGGACCTTGTCTCGAAACCAAACCAAACCAGAGCTAGAGAGATGGCTCAGCAGTGAAGAGCCCTAGGGCCCAGGTTCAAGCCCCAGCAGCCACATGACAGCTAATAATCATCCATAACTCCAGTTCCAGGGGAATCCAATGCCCTCTTCTGATCTCCACAGGAATTTCACGACACGGGTGCACTTATGTGCATGCAGGTAATAAACTCATACACATAAAGTTAAAATTAAAAAAAACAAGAACAACAAAGTGAAAGCCTTTTTTCCTCCCCAGTCCTTACCCCAGCATTACCACTGTTGACGGCTGTGTGATAAATATCCCCAACTGGCTATGTAAAATGCCAAGTAAACTGATTTATTTCATGCGTTCAGTCTTCAATGGTTATCAATATAAGGCATATTTTGTTCTTAACAGCTGGATGTATTACTTTATTGTTTGGACAGGCCATGACTTAATCTGTTCTTTCTTGGCAACTTTTAAGCAGTTTCCAGTACATCTGTCTTTAATACAATGTCCCCAAGGAATTTGTGCACATATGTCAATCCTTGTGCTAGCATGCTATATTAAAAGCAAAATATAAGTTAATCAGACTTTCTAATTTTCTCTTCAAAAGACAGCATCAGACTCTCCCTACTGGAGTCCCTGTTCCCACACACTTTGATAGCCTAACACCATATCTTCTTTCCATTGGAAATTGTTCTTTTGTATTTCTATTCTGGATCTGTTCTGGGTAACAATGGTCATAAAATAAAAGCCCTTTAAGAAACTCAAAATAGCAATTGAGTGATTAAGCTCCAAACACAAGATTTCCCTAGTGCTTTATGGGTCTCAACAAATTATGTGTTACATAATGAAGAAAATATACCTTTTATAGTGAGCTAGCTACTCAGTGTGCTCCGTTTGCCTACCCACCTGAACAAAGAGGGGAAGCCAAGCCAGTCCCCCGCATGACAACTGTGGTAACAATCTCCCAGAAGCCTACCATTAACTCAAGTGTCTTTGTACTAATGATAGTGTTTACAGCCTCGCAGTGGAGGCCACTTATTGACACAGAATGGAGCAGGAAGCTGAGCAGGATGGGGGATAACACGTGTCCAGCTGACAGCTTATAACTTGGAAGCATGTCCTCAGCAGGCTTTGCAAGTCTGGCCCCAACAGCTGATGGGTTAGCTTTCTAAATGTCCCCTTTGATTTATTCCTGTTTGAGTGGTCCCATGGAGACAATCACACAGAACCATTTCCAGCTGTCTCTTTCAGGGGACGCCATATAAATAATCAGTTTTGTGGGCTGGGGAGATGGCTCAGTCTGTAAAGTGCTTGCCTTACAAGCAAAAAGACCCAAGTTTTAAAAAGGGTGGGAGGAGCAGATATAGTGACACACTTGTAATCCCAGCACTGCGGAGGCAAACAGGTGAATGCCTAGGGTTCACTGACCAGCCAACCTAGTATACTAACCTGAGCTCCAGGTGGGGGAGAGACACTATCTCAATAAACAAGGTAAGAACTGGGTGTGGTGGTGCCTGGCTTTGATCCCAATACTTGGGAAGCAGAGGCAGGTGTATCTCTGGCAGCTTGTTCTACATAGTGAGTTCCAGGCCAGCTGGGGCTGCAGAGAGACCCTGTCTCAAACAGAAGCAGAAACAAAACAACACACAAAAACCAAGGCAGGGGTTGGAGAAATGGCTCAGTGGTCAAGAGCCCTGGTTGCTCTTGCAGAGGACCCAGGTTTTGTATCCAGCATCCACATGAAGATTGAAAAACATCTATAACTCCAGTTCCAGGGGTCCAATGCCCTCTTCTGGCTTCCACATCCATTGCAGGACACAGGTTCACTTAATATATATGCAGGCAAAACACGCACACATATAAAATAAAAAATTAATAAAATTAATTTTCAAAAAAATTTTAAACCAAGGTAGATGGCACCTGCGGAATGACACCTGGCATTGTCCTCTGGCCTCCACATGCATGTGTACACATGTGCACATTCATCCACACATGCTCACACAGACACAGACACACACACACACACGCACACACACACACTAAAGGGAATCAGTTTTGTGTTTTGGATTTTTCAAGACAGTGTAAAATTCACAATGTCTTGGGGCTGTAGAGATGACTCAGCAGTTGAGAGCACTGTCTGGTCTTGCAGAGGACCCAAGTTCAAATTCTAACACCTACATGGCAGCTAATAGCCATCTATAACTCCAGTTCCAAAGGGATCCAACACCCTCTTCTGACCTCCAAGGGCATTACATGACATGGGTACACTTACATACATGCAGGCAATATACTCACACACATAAAATAAAAATTAAAAAATTCACAATGTCTTATGCCTTGTTCCCTTAAACATGTGATTCACAAGCCAGATGCTTCTAGGTTCAGACTAAGAAACTGCCCTCTGGGGGGTTCAGAAGGCACTTTGGGAGACCTCCTAGATATTCTTAATGTTGTACACCAGTTCTCAAAGCATCCAATAGCTCAGCTAAGGAATACAATAACCAAAAGATTTTTCTCCATGGGACTACTCAAATAGATGAAAGAATTGATCTCCTGGCCTACACTGCACAGTGGCTTTTAATATTTTTATGTTTTGTTGAGGAAGAAAACAGCTCTTACTGCAAAGAAATAAAAGAGATGATTTATTCTGGAGTCATATGAGTGACTGGGAACACAGATTTAGTTCTCTCCAAATATTAAGTCCCAGTGAGGTGGCAATTTCATGAACTCTTTATAGTAACAGAACATAAAAAGTCAAAAATCAACACACTTTTCAAATACATTTGTGGGTACTTATGGTAGGCGGGTAACAGCAAAGGGGGGAGAATTCTGCTATAGGCCACAGGTGCTCTGACAACACTCACTCAGTCTTTTGGTTGGTGGAAGCTAAGATTTTGTTAATACAGTCCATAGGTTTTTAATCTGTTAGTCACAGGACATCAGAACTGACAGAGAAGTTCTCAAAGAATGGCTACTTAGGGATTACAAACAGCCCAAGATAAACTGTAAATAGGCTCTTGTGCTGGGTAGCTTTAGTGTCAACTAGACACACCTTGGTTGAGGGCGCCTCAATTGGGGAATTGCCTTCACTGGACTGGCCTGTGGCCTTCTTGATTGTTGAATAATGTGGGAGGGCCCAGCCCACTGTGGGTAGTGCCATCCCTGGGCAGGTGGGCCCGTGTTGCATAAGAAAGCAGGCTGAGCAGGGGCCGGGGAGCAAGCCAGTAAGCAGTGATCCTCCATGGCCTGTGCTTCATTCAGCTCCTGACTCCAGATTCCTGCCCTGAGTTCCTACCTTGGGCTCCCTGATGAACTGTGACCTGGGAGATACAAGATAAAATAAACCCTTTCCTCCCCAAGTTGGTATTGGTCAGAGTATTTTGTCACAGCAATGGAGAAACAAACTAGGACAGCTTTGGATCTGCCATATTCCTAACTGTCCACAATCACTGAAGTGCTAATCAGTTAACCAGCCTTGCAGGAGGTTCCTTCAAGATGAACTTCAGTTGAAGATGCGTGTTTTCTCTGTGAACTAAACACAGTTTAGTGTCTGGTATGGTTTGTCACAATTCCCGCCAGTGGCTAAGACAGTGCCTATCACCCTGGAATTTGGATTGAACCACAGCTGCTCACTTACTCATAGCCAAGGTTCACCAAGGGCTCATGAAGAGTCTTTGGTACCATTGAAGAACATTCAAGAATGAACACCCAGGGCTAGGGCCCTCGCCAAGCATGCATAAAGCCCTGGGTTCAATCTCCATCCCCACAAAAAAATAGTGCTAGATTTTCCAATGGTCTTTTATCACTTAGCCCTGTCAGGAGCAACTTCATCTCTACCAACCTTATCAGGTCCATGAGAGTGCCAGGGACAGGGACATGAGGCCCAGGTATGAGGCCTGGCACCTACTTACCTACTTGCCACATCCCTTAGCCCAGTGTAGTCATGAGAATCTGTCTCCTCCCTCACTGCCATCTTTTTGACAGGCACATATTCAAATACCATAAGAGACCTTTTGTATTCAACAAAGTATATGCCCCCAGTATTACTAGCACCTATCACGTGTTCAACATCGTGTCACATGGAGGGTGCACCATGGGTAATGAAAAGTCGAGGAAATTTAGTAAGTAAAATATAGGTGGTGCTCTAGAGGAAAATAAACAAGTCTCAGAGAAGATTAGTAATGGGGATACCAATTTATAGTGTAATTCAGGAACATGTTCTCAGAAGACACAGTTAAGCTTGCTAAGAAAAGAGACAGCAGATGAGGTCCAGGAAGAAAGAATGGTCAGGGATGGTAACATGAAGCTCATTCCCAGAGGTGTCCCATGGTCAAGGAGCCTGCATCCCAGGGACAAGGCATGATCCCACAGGATGGGTCTGGAGGGAAGGTAGGGGAAAGAATGGTCAGGGATGGTAACATGAAGCTCATTCCCAGAGGTGTCCCATGGTCAAGGAGCCTGCATCCCAGGGACAAGTCATGATCCCACAGGATGGGTCTGGAGGGAAGGTAGGGGCGCCACCGTCATCTTAGCAAGTCCCTGTGAACACTCTCGCCAAGTTTTTCAGTTTTGTGTTTCGTGCGCATTTAGCTTCGTTCCATCAGAACCTTTGTTACCTTGTATTGCGCATCCCAAAGCTGTCATTTAAAAACTTTTCATTTCATTCTAATCAAATGTTTTCCATTCCACCTCCCACCCCACCTGACAATGTCCCCCAGAAAAGGATGGTGATCTCAAGTCTCAAGTTGAAAAGCTCTGGCGGGAAGTAAATGCCCTGAAGGAAATGCAAGCTCTGCAGACAGGTGAGACCTTCCTAGAACGTCGTCAGTGCCTGGTCATCAGTGCCTGGTCGGGAAGGGGAGCAGAGAGAACCTGCCATCACTTGGGGTTGGATTCGTCCAATTTGCATGTCACATTCTAAGAGTCCTCCTTTTAAAAGAAACACTGAAGGGCTGGAGAGATGGCTCAGTGGTCAAGAGCACTGTCTGCTCTTGCAGAGGGCTGGGGTTTGGTTCCCAGCACCCACATGGGAGTTAACACCCACCTATAACTCCAATTCCAGGGGCTCCAACACCCTCCTCTGGCCTCCTTGGACTCTGCATGACACAGGTGCACTTATATACATGCAGGAAAAACATTCATACACATAAATAAAAGCGAATAAATGAAAATTTTTAAAAAGAAACATTGGGGGCTAGAGAGATGGCTCAGTGGTTAAGAACACTAACTGTTCTTGCAGAAGACCCGGGTTCGAATCCCAGCACCCACATGGCAGCTAACAACTGTCCGTAACTCCAGTTCCAGGGGAATCCAACAGCCTCTTGTGTCTTCCTCGGGCATTTCATGACATGGGAGCACTTACCTACATGCAGAATACATGCATACACATAAAAAAATAAAAATAATAAATATTTTTTAAAAAAGAAACATTGACAAGCCAGAGATATGTCCAAGTTTAAAGGACCCAAAATTTGGAAAATGACTGCTTTGGGAAATCGGCTGGATTTGTCCTTCTCCTATAGATAGATGGCATAGAAACAAAAACAGGTAGTAGAGAAATGAAAATAGGTAGTTTAAAAGTGCATTTTATAGCCAGGCATAGGCATGGTGGTACATGCCTTTAGTCCCAGCACTTGGGAGGCAGAGGCAGGCAGATCTCTGTGAGTTCAAGGCCAGCCTGGTCTACAAAGTGAGTTCCAGGCCAGTCGGGACTACAGGGAGACCCTGTCTCAAAAAGACGAAAAAAAAAAAAAAAGTGCATTTTATTTATTTATATTTATTATTTATGTTCTTTTAAAATAATAATGAAATTCCATTCAATTCTAAAATTCATTATTTATTTGTTATTTATTATTTATGTTTGCTTTTTAAATAATAATGAAATTTCATTCCATTCTCAAGGAAATCTACCACATAGTTTAGTTATATAAACTAGGATACATGTTATAGCAAAGTAGCTAGAGGTTTAAAGTTATATTTGGGGGGGCAGACCAGGCTTAAGTAGGTTTGAATGTATATGCAGCCTAATTTGTGCCTTCGGCTCATTAAGTTGTTAAGTAACAATTTCTCTATACCTCAATCTGATAATGTAGATGAAAAAAATACCACTGTGTTGTGGAGTTGTAGAAATTATTATAATTTCATTCACTTAAAGTGTGCGAATGTCTAGAAACTACAGAATTATCAACAAATGTTAACCAGTCACCACCGTTGCATAAATAACTCTACAAATATTTGTCCAAGTTTGCTAGGCCCAGTGCTAGGCATGTCAAAAGGCATCTTACTGTATCAAATTTCACATCTCCGCAGTCTGTCTTCGAGGCACCAAAGTTCATAAGAAATGCTACCTTGCTTCAGAAGGCTTGAAATACTATCATGAAGCCAATGAAGACTGCATTTCCAAGGGAGGAACCCTGGTGGTCCCCAGGAACTCTGACGAGATCAATGCCCTCCGAGACTATGCTAAAAGGAGCCTGCCAGGTGTCAATGACTTTTGGCTGGGCATCAATGACATGGTCACAGAGGGAAAGTTCCTCGACGTCCACGGATTCGCTGTCTCCTTCCTCAACTGGGACCGTGCCCAGCCCAGTGGTGGCAAGAAAGAAAACTGTGTCCTGTTCTCCCAGTCAGCTCAGGGAAAATGGAGCGATGAGGCTTGTCGCAGTAACAAGAGGTACATATGCGAGTTTATCATCCCTTAACAAAAGTTCGTTCCAAACAAGATTGGTCCTGATTAGTAGGCTGGTGGTCCCCCCAATAAACCAAAATCACATTTATTAGTTGCAAAATTACAATGCTGGCATTGTTGCACATAGGAATACAGTCAGACTGTTTTTCTACCGTAGCTCATTGTGACTTTGCCCTTTATGGGACAAGAGGAATCAGAAAATAACAAACCAGATATGTGTACATTAAAAAGGGCTTCTGCAAAATGGCCTCTCAAATCCTTTTCTCTCTCCTTGTCCCTCTTGTGTGTATAGACCTGGTCTATTTTTTAAAATACAATATCCTTGTATGTCTTTAAGCCAGAAAAGCAAGCTTAGGCTGCCTGGAAAGTTTCTCTTAAGCTTAATCAGGTATCACTCAGTGACCCGGATATAATCCTAGGGATGTGTCATTAGGTGATTTTCTTGTATGAACATCACAGTATGCCCTTACACAAACCCTGATTCTATACCATCAGGGTGACCTCTAAATGCAGCAATCCAGAGATGCAGTAGACACAAGCTGTATGAGGCCTGTGCTGGTGGAACATGGCAGACTTCTAGAATCCATTTCTTTTTGTAGGTAGGAATGCACAATAAAACAATTAAAAATATAGTATACGAGCCAGGCATGGTGACACATGCCTTTAGTCCCAACAGAGGCAGACGGAGCTCTATGAAATGGAGGTCAGCTTGGTCTATTATATAACAAGTGCCAGGTCAGTTAGGGCTACAGAGAGACCCTGTCTATAAAAGACCAAAAAAAAAAAAAAAAAAGATACTATATTGGTTTTCCATCACTATAAGATTCCTGGACAGACACACATGAAACAAACAAAGTGCAGTTTATTTAGCTTGTACTTTTAGTGACTCAAGGATGAAGACTGGGCAGTCCACTGGCTTGGCCAATGGTGAGGGTGGCAGATCATGGCAAGAACAACTGGTCGTTCTCAAACTGAGCAGAGGTAGGGAGGATGGGCAGGGTCCCCCTTCAAAGCCACGCCTAAGGGTCTTCTACAAGCCTCCACTTCTCAAAACTGCCACCCTGGGTGTTAGGTTTTGGGATGCAGAATACAGGAACAGTAGGAGAGAGAAAGAGACCATACCAGACCTCGACGGGTCAGCATTTTATTCAAACCCAGGAGCATCGGCTGCCTTCCCGCATGCATGCTAGAAGCAACTGCCCTGTGTATGGGAAGCGGTGGAGCTCATGAGGAAGTGGTTGTAGCTGCAGCTGTGGGGGCTACCACGTGCCTCATTCTCTGGAGGCACTTGCTCAAACAGGACAGGCTATCTTGAGCAACAGCCAGTCTCCAAGAGTTCCAGAGGTAGATAAGGGTCAGCTGCAGTTTGGGAGATAGATAAGATCAGCAGTGGGGTTTCTAGTTTTCTGCAACTGGGGCATTCTGTCACTAGGGGGATCCTTGGCAGGAACACAAACAACCTCCAGTCATGGCACGTGGTAAATACATACACAAGCACACTGCCATTTATTATCAAGTTTTAGATCCTGTTCTTAGTCATGTGCTGTACTTTATCTAACAGTATGATGGGTTTGCTTATAACAAGGTCACCAAGTACACACGCAGTGCTACATGTGCTGGGTTACATAAGGATACGAGCAATGTCGGTAGGCAACAAAGATTTTTCATCTCCACCTGAGTCTTAAGGGACCACCAGACTATTATTGGTCAAAATATTGTGCAGGGCCAGTATATATTTAATGGATGTGAATTTCCAAGTCAGGATTCCAGGAGCTGTAGAATCCACAACCTTTCCAGCACGGAGCTCAATCTGCTCTACCTTGTTAGTCCAGGGACCTATGCTTTCAGCTACAGCATCCTGGGGTGGGACTTGCATCCTCTTGGCCACATCACAGTACAAATGTCTGAAGAGGTTCTGATCTAACACTTCAAATGCCTTCACCGCAGTTTTTTTGGAACTTCCTAGTCGAGAGCCCTCCTAAACCCCCTCCCCAAATGAGGCAGCATATTTGATCGAGTCCTGCTCTCAGCATCCCATTGCAACTTCCAACCAATGATCAACCCTGAGGCAGCAGAAGAGCAGCAGGCGATAAGAATGAATGAAACAGACAAACAAGGCAGGGCTGGGGCTGCACTGCAGTTGACAGAGGGCTGGTCCCCCTGTGCAGGAAGCCCTGGGCTCACATAAACAGGGTGTGGTGGCTCACCTATCCCAGCACTGGGTGGTGGAGATAGGAGTTCAAGGTCATCCTTAGTGAGTTCAAAGCCAGTCTAGGCTACATGTGACCTGTCTCCAAAACAATAACAGCAAGGTCTCCTTTCTTTCAGCATGTGTCCTCACAAAATCCTCTTATATATGGATAACAACTTTTTTACTTTCTTTTCATATATATTTTTTCAACCAACATTATGCATTTCAGTCTACAAGTAGAAGCTGAAACTTGTGCTTAAATAATACCATTTTAGAGCCGCACAATTTTTTTCTCTGCGTTTTTTTATTCTAACAATGCCATTCCCATTAAATTGCATAAATGGATTTTGTAAGAATAACTTCATTGCTTAAAAACAGCATTATACATTTTAGGCTTGGGTAAAAATGGGTTTGTTGAAAAAAATCTAAATATACTCTGTCCTTCAAATAAATATCTTTCTTCTCTTCCAATGTTGGATGCATTTTCTGAATAATATCTTGCTCTAAAGAGTTACATGCTCCTAGAATTAAATTTTAGATTTTTTTGATTGCAGAATAAAGCCCCAAATCTGATCTGTGTGAATGTGTTTAGATATTGACTACAGCTATTCAGACTACGTTGTTTTTATCAAACTTGGCAAAATTAAGGAGAAAATTTCCTGGATTCGATCAAACTGATTACACTGGTATATTTGGAGAAGACTTTCAACTGGCACTGAAGAAGTATAGTTTCAGGATGGGGGACTTTAAAAATATTGTAGGGACAATAAAAATATTGTATGGACAATGGTTCAGTGGTTAAAAGCACTGGCTGTTCTTACAGACCTAAGTTTGGTTCCCAGCACCCACATAGCAGCTAAAAACGGTCCATAACTCCAGTTCCAGGGGATCTGATGCCCTCTTCTGACCTCCATGGGCATTGCATGGCGTGGGTGCACTAACATATCTACAGCAATACACTCATATGTATAAAATAAAAATAATGAAATATTTTTTAAAAATATCATAGTTGCAGTTGATTGAGCCTACTCCAGCCCCAACACCACCATGGTCTTCCTAAAGATACTGGCATTAGTGGCTGAGGAAACACTTAAGTTGCTTCATTAGGACCCGAGTTCAGATCCCAGGAACCCACATAAAATGCAGGATGCAGTGGCATGCACCTGTAACCTCTGCAAGACAGAAGTAGGCCATGCAGGACCCAAAAGCGTGTGCTCCAGCTAGGCTGGCCGACATGTGAAGTTCCAGACCAATAAGAGATCCTGCAGGAAACAGAAGGAAGAAGACTCCTGTGGACCGATATCCAAAGTTATCTTCTGACCTGCATGTATGTGCCATGCATGTGTCAGCACCACACACGAACACATATACACACGTACACACACACACGATGACCATGATGATGTGAGTAGACTTGCATGAGCAGCATCTTCCCATCACATCCCAAGTTCTGTGCTACATTTGATACACTTCTTAATTATCTAATTCAGAACCCTAGGAATTAGGTTCTAGATTTATTTCATGACATGAAAGAGAAAAATGAGAGGGATGACAATTGTCCTAAATCACATGCCAGCAAATCATGGCCAACTCACCACATCCTCAGCAACCACGGAAGTTGTGACGTTTTGAAGCTTATCCCAACAGTGGGGCAAATTCTAATCCATGGCTCAGTGTTGTCACCTGGAGCTATAATGTGGGCAAACAGGTGACCTTGAGGAGATATTGACTCTCAGGTTATGTTTGACCCCTTTGCAAAGACAGCCAAGATTTTACATGAACATGCCAGAGTTTAGGTCTCCAAAGATGGTGTCAGATAAGATCATCTTTCCCCAAGATCCTCAGTCAGAAAGAGCAAGAATTCAACCTGTGAGATTGTTACTTAGTCAAAAAAAAAAACAAAAACAGAAAAGCCACATGCTGGGAGGCTGAGGTCAGCCTGGGCTTCCTAGTGAGGTGAGTGTGTGTTAAAAGGGGCTCTTCTGAAGGGCATGCTGACAAACCAGTGGAAGAACGTCTGTGTGGGATGCTGTCAGTCTGAACAGCAGAGGAAGAGTGAGCTCTGAGCTCTGGAGAGACTCAATGTAACATTAAGCAAGCGCGCGCACACACACACACACACACACACACACACACACACCGGCATATAGCTGGGAGAGATGCCAAGTGCAATACACACTATGCCAGCGGGGGGACCAATGCCCAAAGAGAAGTAGGTATGAGACCCCCCCGGAAATGGAGTTACAGATGGTTTCGAGCTACCATGTGGGTGCTGGGAGTGGGTGCTGGGAGTCAAATCCAGATCCTCTGCAAGAGCAGCCAGTGCTCTTGACTGCTAAGCCATCTCTCCAGCCCTTGTTGGGTTCTTGGTTTTTTGTTGTTGTTGTTTTTAAATAATGTCTCATGAAGGCTAGGTTGGCCTCAATCTCACTAGGTAGCCAAGGATGACCTTGGACTTCTGGTCTGGTCCTCCTGCCTTTACCTCCTGAATGCTGAGTGGTTTTTCCATCTTGTGCATGCCAGGCAAGCATTCTACCAACGGAGCTATCTCCACAGCCCCAGGAGCTTCAATATTTGATGACCACATTAATATCTGTGCCCTACTTGGGTTTGCCACTTGCAGTCAAAATAATTCTTGAGCTGAAGTTACAGCTCAGGTGGTAGAGTGCTTGCCTGGCGAGCAGGGAGCCCTGGGTTTGAGCCCCAATACTGAATTAACCAGGTTTCATAACACATGTAACACTCCCCAAGGGTGAGGTAGGAGGATCAGAAGTTCAAGGCCAGCCTGGCTTATAGAGTTTAAAGCAAGTCTGGGACGGATGAGACCCTGTCTCAAAAATAAAAGCATAAATAAATACATAATTTTAAAAAGGCTTTTGTGGGGCTGGAGAGAAGGCTCGGCAGTTAAGAGCACTGGGTTTTCTTGCCGAAGACCCCAGTTCAGATCCTAACACCTACATGGCAACTGACAAACATCCATAACTCCAGTTCTAGGGGATCTGATGCCATCTTCTGACCTCGTGGGTACTGCATGACATAGGTGCACTTACATGCAGGCAATACACTCATATACATTAAATAAAATAATAAATAAAATAGTTAAATTTTTTAAAAAATAAAAAGCCTTTCTGAACCACTAACAGTTGTATGGTCAGAGTACTGATGATCAGTGTTGTTTTACATGAATAAAAAGAAGTGAACTGAATGTTCCTGCTAGAAAGGGATTTTGGATTCTAGATATCTCAGGGCCCCATGACCTCCCCTGAACAGGAGAAACTGCAGAGAGGCTGGTGCTGCCTGGTTGGTAACAGAGAAGGAGGCTTCTGTTCAAGGCTACAGAGAGAGGCTTGCAGTCTGGTGGTCTGGCGGTCTGGCAGGATCCTAACTGCCTGTGCAAGGGGTTTCCATCAAGCTCTACCCAGGCCTGGATTCAAGAGCTCTTCTGAATGGGAATGCAGTCCTCACAGACACCAAACAGGAGCTAGCTGGTCTTGTGCCAATACCTGCAGGGCCAGTGGAAGACCAGGAGCTAGGAAAGCCACCCAGCTTCACCCTTTGGAACTGGCGTACCGACTCTCTTGACACCCTCTGGCTCCTGTGGCAGCCCTCCCCCCACCCACTTCCTGTCTGTCACAGGTTCCATCAGTCATGAGGACCAGTGCTTACCTGTATACAGAAGGTAGACATGGAGGAGCACTCTGCATTTCATCCCTCTTCTCTAAATCACCAATCCACACAAAAACTGCTCTAAATGCCAAAGTCCTTGAGGCAATGTGGCCACCCACTCTGCAATCAGGCCCCATCAGCCCCTGCCCCAGCCATCACCCTCTATATCTACCCTTGCTCACAAGCTGCCCCTCCCTGACCTGCACGGTTAGGTTTCTCCTGCCAGAGCGCAGAGGCCTGGGTACAGGCTAAGCCCCCAGCATGTGCCTTAGCTGACAGTCTCAACAGCGCCCCCAGGAGGCCACACCTTCTCCAACAGACCATAGACTCTTCCTTGCCAGGGAAGCTTCTGCTGGTAACCTGGGGGACCTTCTCAAAAACCCATGATATCCATTCAGTACTTCAGGATATTTGGTCCTGTCAGGATTCTGAGCGTCCTTCCTCCAAGGTTTAAGTCCACTCTCCTGCCAGGCCATGAGTACTCTCGAGTCCCTGACATTTCATCTCTTTCTTCTTCTTTGTCCAAAGGACACTGAGGCAAGAGAAAAGTTTAAAGAGGGGGAGAAGGAGGAGGAGGAAGAGGAGGAGGAGGAAGAGGAGGAGGAGGACGAGGATGAGGAGAAGGGAAGGAGGAGGAGGAGGAGGATGAGGAGGACGACAAGGACAACAAGGACGACGAGGAGGATTGTGGGGACAGGAGACAGTATGACAGGACACTGATAAAAGTGGTTCCCTTAGTCATGAAAGCACATCTAGGCCATAGCAGCCTGAGGAGGAGTTCTGGGGTTCAAGAGAAAAAGATTCGTCCTCAGCATTTACAAAGCTCTGTATAGAGGTGACTGCCCTGGTGTATCACAGGAAGTTCTCCCACAGACTAAGCACCCACGGTTACAACAGTCCTTTGGGAGGCCTCTCTACCCCTGGGGTAATCTGATGCTGATTCACTGGTGCAACCACACCTATCTGGAATATCTTCCACACTGTGGGAGACCTAGTCCAAGAAAGTGCTGGATCAAAACCATCCTTCACGGGACTGGAGAGATGGCTCAGCAGTTAAGAGCATATTCTCTTGCACCTACATTGTTAGGCAGCTGACATGTAACTCCAGCTCCAGAGGATCCAACACCCTCTTCTGGACTCCTTGGGCACCTGTATTCATGTGCTCAAACCTACACCCAGATGTACAAATATGCATAATTAAAAAAAATAAAAATAAATCTTTTTTTAAAAAAAGAAACATCTTCCAGGCTCTGAAGAATCCCAGAGGTCAGGGAAGGAGGGGCAGGGTGAAAAGTCTCAGGCTAGTGTGGCAGCGAGCTGTGTTCCATACACAGATGCAGTCGACAGACCCAAGAAGACAAAACCTGTATCTGTGGTGCTGCTGTCTCCTCCACTATAGGTGAAACTACTATGGGGTCAGAGTGAGCTGCCCTCACCTACAAAGCTTCCAAGCACCGACACAGAAAGATGTCGGCCCCAGGACACCATGCAAGGTCAAGGCAGCAAGATCTGGAACAAGTACACATAAAAGACAGGCATTACAGCTTTCTGACATTCAGCCCGCCTGGCCTCTCCTACAAGGGCTTTGGACTTCCTGCCCCTGCCCACTTACAATTCCTTTGTAGCTCTGCTCCTCCCGCCTCCACAGCCTTGGCACACCAGGCTTCTGGGCCTTCAATCCTGTCTGTGTCTTCTCTCACACTGAATTTACCCACAATCCCTATTTCTCCTTTGGCGCTCCACCCTTTCCTCCACTTAGGACCACTGTGAGGTTCCACCTCATGCAAATGAAAACTCTACTCACTTTGGCCAGAGCTGCCGATCCTCCCATGTCTCACCTCTCCCACACCACATCCTGAATCTTTGCCCATCAAGCGTCCCTCCTTAGGAGGGAGTCCCAAGCACTGATGTGTGGAAATTCCCCTCCTCTTCTTTCTTCCTCACCGTTCTTCTAGCCTGTGCCCCCAGAAACGTCTCCATAGCCATTCCTCCCTACCCCATCAGCCACAGCACCTGGACATATACTGATGGGTATGAACACAGTTCCCAAATCTGAGGTAGTCATTTCAAAATCACACCGCCACACACCTGGCGGATGTGGCACGCTGCCATTTGCCCATGTC